AGCCTAAGGTATCTAAGGATTCCAAGTTAAAGATGTGGACATGCTCAGCTCAAAATAATAAAGTTAGTATGGAAGCAGAACTAAAATCAGATCTCCTTGATTACAGAGCGTATACTTTTAACTATTAAACCATAGTATTTTATCTTTGCCCCACTCATTTTCTCACCATTAACCCCCAGGTTCACTTTTTGAACACCACTCTGCCTGCCGCCAGTCAAACTAGTTGTTAATATTGTTCTGCCTCATAGTGTCCCGATGTAACAGAACAAAATACCTCCAAGTCTTCTGCCTTCCTCACAGTTATTATTGTATTTGGTTCCACAGTTAAAGCCACTGTGCCAATCCATATCATTTGGGGTCTTCTTTTTTTTTTTTCACTGACCCTCTACTTTACCAAGCATGCTGTCCTTTTCCAGGGACTGGTTCCTTCTAATAATGACATGGTGTCCAAAGTATATGAGATGAAGTCTCCCATCCTTACTTTAAAACAAAAAGCATTTTATTGTGAATCAAGTATATGTTTATAGAGCTGACCATCAGTTTTACATTCAACAAGTCATAACTTTGCTTCATTACAGTGATTGCAATCCACTCCATGTACCAATGGTTGACAGTATTTACTTCTGTTCACTTTAACACTTGCTCTCCTCCCTTTGTCTCCCACTACCTTCATCTTTCCTCTGCTAACCTCCCTCTTGTTGTATATTGCCTACCCTGTCACCCATGGTAACCAGCTGTGAATAATTTTCCCTCCTCGTTTCTCCTGTAAACATCATAGATAGTTTCTTTTATCAAGAAAGCCTTTTCTTTACTTTTTATAACATTGGTCTCATATAATATTTGTCCTTTTGTGATTGACAAATTTCACTCAGTGTAATATATCCTCTAGATTCATCCGTGTTGTGAGGTGTTTTGCGGATTCCTCATTATTCTTCAAAGTTGTATGGTATTACATTGTGGATATGTACCAAAGTTCATTTAACCATTCTTCTGTTGATGGGCATTTCGGCTGTCTCCATCTTTTTACTATGTCTCTTGTAGACATTATATTGAAGTATCCTGTTTTCTTTTCCAGTTTGCTCTATGTATTTTAACTGCTGCATTTAATCCATTTATATCCAGTGTAGTTATCTGTAGGTATGACTTGACTACTGTCATTTTGTTGTGTGTTTTTTTGTGTAGCTGCTGGTTTCTTTATCTCACATCATCTTCTGTGGTTTGTGTTTGTAGGTTTTCTTTTCATTTTTATTTCTGTTGTATTAATGTTTACTGACTCTTTCAATTTTCCTCTTTTTATTTTGGTGTGCCAGGTATATTAATTGTCTTGCAGTTAACCTGTAATTTATTAAATTTTTCCCCATTTAAATGACTGTTTTATCGTGAAATCTACTTGACTTCCTTGCCATTCTGGAAGTTCTGTATCTATCCTGTTCCCTCTTTTGCTTCGTTGTTGACTTAATTATATATTGATATCTCTGGTTCCCTATTTTCAGACTTGTAGGTTCACTTTACTGTAAATACTTACATATGTGGTTTGAGTTCTAGGTGGTGGTGTCATATACGGTAATCTCAGATTCTTGTCAGCTGTTGTTGGTTCTCTATCCAAAGAACACCTTTTGGCATTTTTTGTAAAGTGTGTCTGGTCATTGCAAATTCATCTTTTATCAGGAAATTTCCTAATTTTGACATCATTGTTGAGGGATAGCTTTGCTGAGTGTATAATTCTTGGTTGACAGTTTTTTGTTGTCTTTTTTTTTTTATTATTATTCAGTGTTTCATGTATGTCATCCCATTGCCTTCTTTCCTGCCTGATTTCTGCTGAGAAATCAGAGCTTGGTCTTAATAGTTCACTCAGCTTCTTGTATGCTTATCTCCTCACATTTCATGATTTTAGAGAAGTTTTCTTCCACTAGCTCTTCAAAACTTTTCTCTGTGCATTTTATTGTCTCTTCCTATCCTGGAATTCTGACCACCCTTAAGTTGTTCCTTTTCATTGTGTCCCACATAATGCTTAGGCTTTTTTCGGATTTTTTCTTTCTTTTTTCTAATTGATCTTCTAGCATATGCGTTTTGAGAGATTTATTTTCAAGCTCAGTAATTTAGGCCTCCATTGCTTCAGATCTGCTCCTTTGCCCTTTTAGTGTATTGTCCATTTCTGAAATCTTAGTATTAATCTTCTGGATTTCTAATTACAGGTTTTAGATTATTTCAAAATTTGCATTTATTTTCTGTTTTTTCATATTGTGTTTATTGAATTGTAACGTTTTTTTCTGTGTTCTTGCTTTCTCCTTTTTGTCACTCCTTTCAAGGTACCTAAATATTACTCTTTTGATTTCTTTTTCAGTTACTTCCATTACCTTAAGTTTCTCAGGAATATTTTCTGCTTCTACATCTTGGTCATTTGTTTGAGCCATTCTCTCGTTTCTTCATGTGAGTTAAAATTGTTGCTTCCAGGGCATTATGGGGTTGTTGTATGTGTATTTAACTGAAGACTGTATGTTCATGTGTTCTTAGCCTCTCACCAACTGTACCATGTAAGTGTAATTAAGAACGGAATCTTGTACACTGTCTTCATTCGCTGTTCTCACACTTCAGTTTAAGGTGGGTTTGGCTGGTGTTGACTCTGTCTATCATTGATCAGGTGGTTTAGGAGTTGGTCTTGGCTCTTGTCCAGTGGGTAGAGTTTTCCAGTTGCCTGTGTGACTCTATTCTGTTTGGCCACCTTCTGTTGCCAAAGCTTCTCACAAAGGTTCAAGATGGTCTCACCATCTGTGCTCAGCTTCTCCTCCCAGCAAGTACTCAATCCACTTCTTTAACCTTCTCTTCTGAAGTTCGGGGCTCCAGGATTTTCATGTGTGTATTTTCTTTGATCTCTCTTATCTTTGTTATAAGGAACTCTTATAATGTGGTGATTACTAATCAGGCTGCTAATCTCATGGTCAGCAATTCAAAACTACCAGCTGTTCCACGAGAGAAAGATGAGGCTTTCTGCTCCCATAAAGATTTATAGCCTTGGAAACTCTATACAGGGTTGCTATGAGTCAGAACTGACTCCACAGCACATAACTACCAACCACCATCTTTATTGTAGAGGGTCCATGTAGTGTGCCTGCCTAGTTCACTATCTTACTAGAAGTCACATGTTTTGCCCATCACCATCCTCACTTTTAAGGAACATTCTGGCTGTACTTCTTCCAAGATGAATATCATGTTAATTCCACCAATGCCATAGTTCAAATCTGTCAATTCTTCTCTGGTCTTCTTTATTCATTGCCCAAGCTTTTGCATGTATATTAGATGATGGACAGCACCTGTAGGCTAGGCCTGTCTTAACCCTCAAAGTGACATCTTTGCTTCTTAATACTTCAAAGAGGTCTTTTGCAGCAGATTTGCCTAATGCAGTATGTCCTTTGATTTTTTTTGACTATTGGTTCTATGGGTGATGATTGTGGATCCAAGTAAAATGATCTCCATGAAAACTTCAGTCTTTTCTCTGTTTATCATGATGTTGCATAGTGTGAGGATTTTTTTTTTTTTTTTATGTCGTGATCCATATTGAGGGCTGTAATCTTTGATCTTCATATGTGTTTCAAATCCTCTTTGCTTTCAGTAAGCAAGGTTGTGTCAGTTTCTTATCACAGATTGTTAATGAGCCTTCCTACAATACTGACGCCAGGTTCTTTTTCTTATAGTCCAGCTTCTTGGATTATTTGCTTAGCATACAAATTGAATGTTTGTGGTGCACAGATACAATCGTGAAACACATCCTTCCTCATTTTAAACTACACACTACCCCCTTGCTCTGTTCCTCAGCTATTCTTAAGGTTTTCACTGGCCAGTGTTTTTTGGAATTAGGTTATCAAGTCCTTCTTCCTAGTCTGTTTTAGTCTGAAAGCACTACTGATAACCTGTTTACCATGGTGATCCTCCTAATACCTGAAATACCTGTGGCCGAGTTCCTAGCATCATAGCAAAATGAAAGCCACCATAATAAGACAAATGGTGGTCCAGTCAGCTAACATATTTAAACGTTCTTTCATCATTTCTTGGGTAGATTTTTTTCACTAGCCAACCCTTACTTTCACTGTTGTGCCCATTTAATTCATAACATTCCTCAAATAAACATTCTAAAACCAATATTAGGATTTTCTACTTTCCAATTTAACAACTCTACATTATCAAAAACATAAAATCCCATACCTTAGCATGTCATAAATTTCCTATTTTCCTGTAATTCATGCTGTTGTTATACCTTGGTCACCTTCTACCCTTGTACTTTTGCACCTGCTATTCTCTTCATCTGGAATCACTGCCCTTTATAATCTACCTGGCTAATTATTCTTATACTTAAGACTCTGTTCAGATACCATCACCTCAGTGAAGCTATTCTATGTTCCCACCAATACAAAGTGTGGTATTTGCACATAGTTGTTGTTGTTAAGTGCTGTCTAATCAGATCTGACTCATAGAGAACCTATATAGGATCCTATACAGGATTTCCAAGGAGCAGCTAGTGGATTTCAACCACCAAACTTGTGGTTCAAGCCAACCTTGCAGTCCAGTGCTTATTTTAAATCTTCCTTTGATCTTTTTGTCCCTATGAATAATGATGCTGTAATTGTATGTCCACATCCCATTTTGATCCTTAAAAGTCCTCAAGATCAGAGACTTGAGTATACTCAGTATTTCAGTTCTGGTAGCATAGTGGTTACAAGTTGGGCTGCTAACCACAAGGTCAGCAGTTTGAAACTATAAGCTGTTCCATGGGAGAAAGATGAGGCTTTCTGCTCCTGTAAAGATTTACAGCCTTGGAAGCCCTATACAGGGTCGCATGAATCGGAATCAACTCCACAGCACACAACTCCACCACCAATATATGTTGGCTTTTCCATAAGTATTTTAGAAAAAAACTAATTTTATGAATAGGTGGAATGAAGTAAATTGCATGTGTTCATAATTCCTGTTTGTTTGTTTTCCTTTTTTTTTTTTTTTTTTTTTAGTGGTGATGAGTTCCTCAGTTTCCTTCTGCAATTAAACAAACAGTGCGGCCATTTAATAACAGCGGTTCAGAATATCATGACAGAATTGCCTGTAAATTCTCACAAGGTATCCTACAAAACTTAATAAGTGAATACTAAAGAACATTCCAGACAAGTTAATGATAGTTCAAAAACGTATAGTACTGATCTGGTTAAATTATACCCATTCTTCCACTAAATCACATAAGATTTAAATAAGTCAATTTTTAAAAAATATTACAACTTTACATACCAATTACTTGAAAAACTTTGTGTTGTAGCCCTCATAAAAAGGAAAATGAGTCAGATAAACTTTATTTATTCTTAAAAAGACCCAAACGAAGTTGAAACAAAACAGTATGCTCAGTATTATTAAAAAGCAAATCAACATAAGATCTTTAAATGAAGTTTTTAAATAGAGAAGTGAAAGTGATTTTTAAAAACAAAATTAATTTGTGGACTTTGCAAGTTTGTTGGTTTGAACTACCTGTCTATGTTGTTGTTGTTAAGTGCTGTCGAGTCACTTCCAACCAATAGTGACCCTGGTAGGGTTTCCTAGGTGCAGCTGGTGGTTTTGAACCACCAACCTTGTGGTTCAAACTGACCTTGCAGTCCAGCATCTTATCCTGTAGTGCACACCAGGACTCCTGCTGTCTGTAGTGTAAAATATTAATGCACTTGCTTTCCTACAAATTTTATATAATACTAATATGGGAACCATATCATTTTTAACATCTTTATGAATTGATTTGTCTACCACAAATATTAATATTATCTACATATAGTAGAATATACGTATATATTAAAATTAATGCATTCCGAAAACTGATTTGAATATTTGTATATAATTAGTGATTTATTCTTGCTGTCAGGATTTATCTTGAACAAAAAATGTTTTAAATTACAATTCTCGTGTTTAAAAATGTTTTACAATTCCTGTGGATATAAAATTGTGGAGTTTTTGGGGTTTTTTTCTCTTTCTCTAAAATATGACTTTTGAAAATATTAACAGATAGTACTAGAATGGGCTTCTCCCCAGAATTTCACTTCTGTTTGTGAAGAACTGGTTACTAATGTTGAAGATTTGAATGAAGAAGTCTGCAAATTAAAAGACTTAATTCAGAAGGTATTTACTAACCATAAAAAAATGTGAAAAATAAGGAAAATTACTTAAAATGAAGTAGTTCTGATAAGAGCAGCTTAAGCTCCCATTGGACTAGCTGGGAGAAAATGTTTTTTGGAATATGTGATTTTGTGGTTCTTGTTTTTATACTCATAAAAGAAGTACATAACTGGATTTAAGAATAAGTGATTTTTTTTTTCCTCTAAGAAAAGAAGAAAAAACTAAATCTAAGTTCCTGAAATAGGAAACTTTGTTGACGATATTTAATAAAAGAGTAAAATACCAAAACACCTTTAAATCAACTAAAGAACTCACTTGTGAGTTCTCCAATTTTGTTTAATAAAATTGATGTCTGTAAAGTTTTTTCATAAACAAATGTATGTAAAAATTAGATTATGCATTGTATTTTCGTAGCTCCAACCTGTTAATGTCATTTAAATTTGGCGTTAATGTTTTATGCCAAAAGTTATTTTTTTCCCAAGCATACAC